CTTCTCCCAGTCTCTGAGAGGAAAACCAGACCTCATATAATAAGAACTGAAACAGAAGAGCACAGTGAGTTTTCAGAAGCATATGTGTGACTATACTATTTCAGGAATTGTTCCAGTATGAGATGTTTATCATAAGTTTGGTGTGACCCAGCCAAGGAGCTTAATATAACAGGGTTAAGTGAATGGTGGGAGGGGAGAGTCCCATTCTATGCCAGCTTGCATTTATTAGTAACCAAACAGGTTAGCAGATGAGACTCACTGAGAATTTACTAAATCTGGGACTTGTGGTTTGCAAATCATTTTGATTAACAGCTGCTGTCACCTATCTTAGGACAGGAAAAAGTAAGTGTTATTATTTTATTGCACTAAATATTAGTCACAAAGAGACTTAAAACAGTATAATTTGGCAAATATAAAATTTACTGGTTAAGTCGAAAACCATGCTCTGCCCTCACACTAGGCTCACTAAAGATGACTTTCCTGGGAACATCTTAGTGAACAGATGCTTCTTCTGTTTCCATGAAGAGTTTACTGGCATCTGTTAGTGAAGGGCTCTTTTGGCAAAAGGAATTTCTTGTTTATCTACATATACACACATATTTAAAAAATTTTTTTACATACCTTACTTAAGGGTTTTGCCTTAATTAGATCTCCAAAAACTGGGACTCAGGTGAAATATTTGCCTGAATCTCATAATTAAGTATTGAATATTAAAATATGCCTACCTGATCTAAAGTTTGGAAGCTTAATGTTCAAGAAATAATTGTTAGTAAAGGGGGAAAATACTTAAATGGTTGGTAAAGGAAAGATAATTACATTGTCAACATAATCTTTTGAGTTAGAGTTGGATTCAGAAGACTTTCTAAAGAGCTTTTGAATACCATTAAAATCTTTTTTCAAGGATGCTACTTTTGTATCTTGTATAAATCTTTGTTTGCAAAGAAATTCAACTATTTCTTAGTGATTAAAGAATATGGATATTGAAAAATGCAAATTATGCCCTTATGTTTGTCAATTCCTAAAGAATATGAAATATTCTCTCTACTGTACATAGTGAATTTATTCTAACTCCTTTAGGAAGTCAGAACAACTGCAGATTTCTGTCTCAAAGAGTGTAAATGCCTAGAGGTTAATATTGAACTCTGCAGTTACATCACTGGTGAAAATTAGATCCGTAATGAGTAAACTTACTTTAGGTAAGAAAAAAATCACTTTTTTTTTTTAAGATTTTATCCATTTGAGAGAGAGCGCACAAGTAAGGGGGAGGGGCAGAGGGAGAGGAGGAAGCAGACTCCCTGCTGAGCAGGGAGCCCCACTCAGGGCTCCATCCCAGGACCTGAGATCATGACCCAAGCCGAAGGCAAACGCTTAACTGACTGAGCCACTCAGCCGCCCCCAAATCACATTGTTTTATACATGTTGCCAGGCCTCAGAGGCTTTTAATCATTGCTTTGGATCATCAGGGAGATGGTTAAAAAGTGTTGACTCAAGAGCTTTTACCATATATAATAAAGCAATTCAGGCAATAACAATAACGAGATAGATTCTAGAAATAAGAACAATGAGGTATAGTTCAGTCAATGAGAAATAAATAAAATGAGTGAAATAACTGGTATGGATAATCTCTAACATTATTTTACATTCAGCTAATGTGAATCTAAATGGAAATTCCTATAGCAGATTTGTGGTCCCAGTGTTCTGTTTATAACCATGAATTTAGCAAACAATATAGCATTGTGCACAGTGCATGATACATAATAGAGGCCCCTCAGTTTTTCCATCCTCACTCCCAAACTAGGATAACCCCCTATTATAAGCTCCCAGAGCCCCTGGCACTTTTCTTTCCCAGTGTGTAATTATATAGTTATCTCTGGGCTTTAGGGTTGCTAGATTTATCTAATAAAAATACAGGAGGCTCAGTGAAATTTGAATTTCAGATAAACAATTTTTCAGTATAAGTTTTTCTTGTGCAACTTTTGTGATGTACTTATACTAAAAAATTAGCCGTTCTTTATCTGAAATTCAGATTTTTTTAAAAGATTTTATTTATTTGAGAGAGAGAGCACAAGCAGGGGGAGTGGCAGGCAGAGGGAGAAGCGAGAAGCAGGCTCCTAGCTGAGCAGGGACCCAATGTGGGGGCTCCATGCAGGCCTCAATCCCAAGACCCTGGGATCATGACCTGAGCCGAAGGCAGACGCTTAACCCACTGAGCCACCCAGGCGCCCCTGAAATTCAGATTTTCTTGGGCATCCTGGATTTGATGTGGATTCCTGGTAGCTTGCTTGTTCATATCTGTACGTCCTGCAGACTACAGGTCTTAGGAGAGCAGATAATCTCTGGAGCAGAGGTATTAGCACTTTCTAGGTACTTGATAAATATTGGTTGAGTGCCTAAAAGGATGAGTGGTATGGAGTACAACTGAGGTTCAGAGAATTTAAAAACAAAAAAAGCATTTCCTGGGGCACCTGGCTGGCTCAATCAGAGGAGCATGTGACTCTGGATCTCAGGGTTGTAAGTTAGAGCCCCACATTGGGTGTAGAGACTACTACAAATAACAAACTTAAAAAAAAACAAAACTTCTTCCATTTGGGATTTCTACAAGTGTACCATCTTTACACTGTAAATATTCAATCAACTAAGATAAAGAGGAAATTCCATTTAAAAGGGACTCCGAAGGCTCTGCAGGGAGTCTCCTTCTGCCTCTGCCTCTCACTCGTGTGCTCTCTCTCTCAAATAAATAATATCTTAAAAAATAAAAAAAGTAAAAGAGACTCCAAGCAACTGATCCTGCAAATATAATTAACTTTCAGTTTTTAATTTGCAGTTAGTACTTTTTCAAAGACAGTTATTGCACAAGTTCAACTTGTATTTTTAAGTGTTATGGCAGATTGCAGCTAACCTTTTCTATTGAGATCTAAAACTAAAAAAGAGGTTTGTACGGGACAGACAGGAGATGTTTCCAGGCCATATATGGAGGAGGCGGTCCAAATTTTGAAATCCTTATCATCACATCTTTTGAACTCAGACGTTCTGCTTTATATTAGAAAAAGCAAAACAAGTTAATCTTGAGAACATTCATTAGCTCATGAAGAGCCAGGGTCTTAAGTGTACTCTTTATAAGGTTTAGTTCATAAACTATGGAGTGGAGTTCACTTAGGTGAGTCATGGGAGTTTAGCAAACAGATGGTAAAAGGAGAAAAATGCCTTGGAAAAACAAATAGAAATGCATGTCTTATATACTACAAATAGAAATGCGTGTCTTGTATGCTAGGAACATTAATCTGGATCAGTCACAAATGCCCACAAGGCAAAGCCTTTCCCTTAGGCTTGAACGGCCTCCTACCTCAGGGTTCAACAAGGAGGGTAGACGGGATCTGAGAGTTTGAGGTTCCAGTTTTAGGGCTTCTATTAGCCTTGTGCCCAAACTGCGCTTGTGTTCTCTTGCTCTTGAAGGGACAAACAGTCCTTTCATACTGAGAACAATGACAGACTCTACTTGACATGAGGAGATTTGATGGCTCCTCTGGTGTCCTCGCCACAGTCAGCCATAGATTTAAAGCATGTGTGTTCACAGGTGAACTCTCTTCTGTCATTCCCTCTACATCACTTCCAACCTCCCAGTGGAGTGATGAACAGCTCCCATTTAGCCAGGGCAAATTCTCCAGAAAAGGTGGTAACTGTGAATAGTTGAGGGTCAACACTCACAGGAGCTGGGGGACACATCTACAAGCCTGGGAACTGTGTATATTACATATGACTGTGGCTTATCAATGATGCCAACAATAATGTATTGTGTATCTAGAAAAAAATCACATCATGGTTTTTGAATACAAGAATTAAAATTGTTTTTGAGGAAACAACATGCATACACAGTTTAAACAATCCAATGATGGAAGACAAAACTTAATTAAATGACAAACATACAGTACAATTATAAAGCCTAGGAGAGTTCAGAAAGAATAGACTCCAGTGAGTATACACTGATTCCAGAATTTCCATAGAGGAATGTGTTTTAGGCTTGGCGTTGAAAAATAACCCTTGAATATATGGAAAGGAGGGTATTGTCAAGTGACAACACAAAGGTTCAGATGATCGTGACTCTAATTAGTAAAGGATTCTGCTGGAGGGAGCTTCATTGGCTAGAGCTGGTGGTTGTCAACTTGGAGTAAAATGAAGCCAGATTGTGAGGATTTTTGAGTATCTTCTTCTAAATACCAGCCTTTCTAAATACTCCTTCCAATTATAGTTTTTTTTAAATTTCTCTACCTTTTGTTCATTTTCTATGAGGGGATTTTTTAAGAAAGATCTATGAATGGAAATCTTCTTAAGGTCCTAAAAATCATCACTTGCAAACTCTGTAAATCTCTAGCTATTAACTATTATAACTCTTTGCCTAGGTTAATTTAAATTTTGCCAGTTTAGGCAAAATTTTGGATTTATTTCCACAGGACATATATAGTAAGTTCTCATTCTATGAGAACCAGAACAGTACTCAAATAGGAGCTGTAAGCATCTGTACCATCACCATCATATATGACATATTATTATAAATGAAAAGCAATATGGTTAGGAGTCCAGCCTCTTGAGCAGGACTGCCTGGGATCAAATCCGGCTTCAGCACTTATCTGGGGTGACTATGGGTGTGTCTCTTATTTTCTCTTTGCCTGGAAATGGAGATAATAGTAATGTCTACTTCATAAGGTTGTTTTGAGAATGAAATGAGTTGATACATATAAAGGATATAGTACCATGCCTGGCATGTGGCAAATACTTTATATGTGTTAGCTGTGTTTATTTTCAGGAAATTCAAGTGCCAAAGTTAAACACATGGAAAGTTGTTTAAACCAATCGTTTAAAGACCTCTTAATCCCTCCACACATAATTTAGGACCAAAATGAGTTGCTAGATTATTGTCAGGACAATACTAACTTAAAAAAAAAAATGTCTACTTCTGCCTGCACTTTAGCCACTTCATCTGCATGATCGGAGGAAGGTCAACAATGGCTTCTGTGAGGAAGGTCACTGACAAGCGGCATAACCCAGTGGAAAGCATTTGTAGAAAAATCAGAGCCATCCAAAAGAGAGAAGAGATTTCAGATCCACTTCGACAGATTCTCAAATATCAGTCTAGCAGTTTTGATAGTCCACAGATTAACACCAAGAAAGATTTTGAAGAGGTACTAAAGAACATGGCGACCACTCCTATTCCTTCGCCCAACACTTGTTTCTTAAGTACTGAGAAAGACGATGCCATCATTACATCTCCTCAAATAATGTCTCCAAGAACCCCATCCATTTCTCACCTCAGCTCTCCCGAGAATGCAACATACCCTGTTCCTCTCACAAGTTCTGAAAACCTCTCAAGGCCAAGATCACAGAGCTCTCAGAATTACACATCTCGGGTATCACAGACCAGGGAAGGGGAACGCTTCTTTAACAAGGATTTGAATAACTGTTGTAATGAAAATAATTTTAGTGCGTCAACACTTGACTTTGATTCAACGTCTGATAAAAACTCTGAATGTTTTACTCCTCAGGAATCACTGGTGAAAAAATTATCTCTAAATGGAGCTGGTAAATATTAATCGTTTAGTGTTAGTTCTTCCAATAAAGGAATAAGCACTTTCTGAATACCTGAGTTAAAAAAACCCAATCCACATGATTAAAACTTGGATGGAAGCATCCATCTTTCCCTTTTTAAGTATGTTTCTTTTTCTCTCTTAAAGAATTTTTCATTTTTAAAAATTATTTTTAAATTTTTTAATTGATGTATAGTTGACCTATTTCAATTATATACTTTATTAAATGCTCACCATGATAAGTGTAGTTAATGTCTGTCACCATGCAAAGTTATTACAGTATTGTTGACTATATTCCCTATGCTGTACTTTTCATACTCATGACTTAATTTATTTTATAACTGAAAGTTTGTACCTCTTAATCCACTTCACCTATCCTGTCCCCTACCTCCCTTCTGGCATTCACCAATTTGTTCTCTGTATTTTTCAGTCTATTTCCTTTTGTTTGTCTGTTTTGTTTTCTAGATTCCACACATAAGTGAAAGTATATGGTGTCTTTCTCTGTCTGACTTATTTCACTTAGTATTATGCCCTCGAGTTCTATCCATGTTATCCTGAATGCAAGATTTTATTCTTTTTTATGGTTGAGTAATATTCCATTGGGTATATATACCACTTCTCCTTTATCCCTTTATCAGTAGACATTTAGATCACGTCCATATCTTGGCTATTGTAAATAATGTTGCAGTAAACATAGGAGTGCATATATCTTTTCAAATTAATATTTTTGTTTTCTTTGGATAAACACCCAGAAGTGAAATTACTAGTATTTTCATTTTTAATTTTTTGAGGGACCTCCATATTGTTTTCCATGGTAGCTGTGCCAGTTTACAATCCCACCAGTAGTTCATAAGGGCTCCCTTTTCTCCATATTCTTACCAACAGTTGTTATTCTTGACTTTATGATGCTCATTCTGACTGGTGTAAGGTGATATCTCACTGTGGTTTTGTTTTGCATATCCCTAATGATTAGTGAGGTCAAGCATCTTTTCATGACCATTGGTATGTCATCTTTGGGAAAATGTCTATTCAGTTCCTCCTCCGATGTTTTAATTGGGTTATTTGGTTTTTTGGAGTTGTTTGTTATTTCTGTATCTTGGATATTAACTTCTTATTGGATATATCATTTGCAAATATCTTCTCCCATTCATTTTATTGATAGTGTATTGCTATTTCATTTTATTGATAGTTTTCTAAGCTGAGCAAAAGCTTCTTGGTTTGATATGGTCCCAATACTTTATTTTTCCTTTTGTTTCCATGTCCTGAAGAGAAAGATTCAGAAAAATATTGCTAAGGTCAATGTCCAAGAGTTTACTGCTTCTGTTTTCTTTTAGGAGTTTTATGGTTTCAGTCTTTACATTTTGATATTTAATCCATTTTAAGTTGATTTTTGTGTATGATGTAAGGAGTGGTCTAGTCCCATTCTTTTCCATGTCGTTGTCCAGTTTTCCCAGTATTATTTATTGAAGAGACCATCTTTTCCCTACTATACGTTCATATCTCCTTTGTCATAGATTAATTGACAATGTAAGTGTGGGTTTATTTCTGGGCTTTCTATTCTGCTCTATTGATCTATGAGTCTGTTTTTGTGCCAGTACCATACTGTTTTGATTACTACTGCTTTGTAATATAACTTGAAATCTAGGATTGTGATGTCTTCAGCTTTGTTCTTCTTTTTCAAGATGGCATTGGCTCTTTGGGGGTCTTTTGTGGTCCCATATAAATTTTAGTATTTGTTGTTCTAGTTCTGTGAAAAAGATTTTTTTTAATTTTAGGTAGTTAACATACAGTGCAATATTGGTTTCTGGGGTAGAGTTCGGTGATTCATCACTTACATACAACACCCAGTGCTCATAACAAGTGCCCTCCTTAATACCCATCACCCATCTAATCCATCCCCAACCCACCTTCCTCCATCAACCCTCTGTAGTTAAGGAATCTCTTTTAGCTTGTTTCCCTCTCTCCTTTTTTCTTTTCCCTTTTCCATATGTTCATCTGTTTTCTTTCTTAAATTCCACATATGAGTGAGATCATATTGTATTTGTCTTTCTCTGACTGACTTATTTCACTTAGCATAATACACCCTAGTTCCATCCATGTCGTTGCAAATGGCAAGATTTCATTCTTTTTGATGGCTGAATAATATTCCATTGTGTGTGTGTGTGTGTGTGTGTGTGTGTGTGTGTGTGTGTACACACATACCACATCTTCTTTATCCATTCATCAGTTGCTGGATATTTGGGCTCTCTCTGTAGTTTGGCTATTATTGATAATGCTGCCATAAACATTGGGGTGCAGGTATCCCTTCAAATCTGTATTTTTTGTATCCTATGGGTAAATAAATACCTAGTACTGCAATTTCTGGGTCATTGGATAGTTCTATTTTTAACATTTTGAGGAACCTCCATACTGTTCTCCAGAGTGGCATCAGTTGACATTCCCACCAATAGTGCAAGAGGGTTCCCCTTTCTCTGCATCCTCACCAACACCTGTTGCTTCTTGTGTTGTTAATTTTAGCTATGCTGACAAGTAGTAGTATTTTGATAGAGATTGCCCTAATTTTATAGATTGCATTGGGTAGTATGGATATTTTAACAATAGTAACTCTTATAATCCATGAGGATGGTATATCTTTCCATTTTTTTGATATTGTTTTTAATTTCTTTCATCAATGTCTTATAGTTTTCAGATTACAGGTATGTCACCTCTTTAGTTAAATTTATTTTATTTTATTCTTTTTGATACATTTGTAAATTGGATTGTTTTCTTAATTTCTCTTTCTGTTTTTTATTGGTGTATAGAAATACAACAGACTTCTGTATATTGATTTTGTATTCTGAGACTTTACTGAATTCATTTATACTTCTAAGAGTTTTTGCTGTAGTCTTTAGGGTTTTCTATATATAGTATGATGTCATCTGGAAATAGTGACAGTTTTACTTCTTCCTTACCAATCTGGATGACTTTTATTTCTTATCTGATGGCTGTGGCTAGGACTTTCAGTACTATGTTGAATAAAAGTGGTGAGAGTGGACATCCTTGTCTTGTTCCTGATCTTAGAAGAAAAGCTCGCAGTTTTTCACCGTTGACAATGATGTTAGCTGTGGGTTTTTCAAATAAGGCCTTTATTATGTTGAGATATGTTCCCTCTAAACCTCCTTTGTTGAGGCTTTTTTATCATGAATGATGTTGTACTTTGTCAAATGCTTTTCCTGCATCTATTGAGATAGTCGTATGGTTTTTATCCTTCATTTTGTTAATATGGTGTATCACATGGATTGATTGATGCATATAGAATCATCCTTGAATCCATGAAATAAATCCCACTTGATTGTAGTGAATGATCTTTTTAATGTACTTTTGAGTTCAATTTCCTAGTATCTTTTGCAGATTTTTGCAATTATGTTCATCAGAAATATTAGTCTGTAGTTTCCTTTTTTGTAGTGTCTGTCTGATTTTGGTGTTAGGGTAATGCAGGCCTCATAGAATGAACTGGAAGCTTTCTGTTCTCTTACATTCTTTGGAATAGTTTGAGAAGAGTAGGTATTAACTCTTCTTTAAATGTTTGGTAGAATTCAACTGTGAAGCCATCTGCTCCTGGACTTTTGTTGGGAGTTTTTGATTACTGAAAAGTGGTCTGTTCAGATTTTCTATTTCTTTCTGATTCAGTTTTGGGAGATTGTATGTTTCTAGGAATTTATCCATTTTTTCTAGGTTGCCCAATTTGTTGGTATACAACATTTTGTAGTAGTCTCATAATCCTTTGTATTTCTGTGGTATTGGTTGTAACTTCTGTTTCATGTCTGATCTTATCTGAGTCCTGGCCTTTTTTTTTTTTTTTTTTTTAGATTTTATTTATTTATTTGACAGGAGACAGAGAGAGAGTGAGACAGGGAATATAAGCAGAGGGAGTGGGAGAGGGAGAAGCAGGCTTTCCACTGAGCAGGGAGCCCGATGTGGGGCTTGATCTCAGGACGCTGGGACCATGACCTGAGCTGAAGGCAGACGCTTAACGACTGAGCCACAGATGCTTAACGACTGAGCCACCCAGGCATCCCCCCCTTTTTTTTTTGATAAGTCTGGCTGAAAGTTTATTGGTTTTTGTTTATCTTTTCAAAGAATCCGGCTCTTAGTTTCATTGATCTTTTCTATTGTGGGTTTTTTTTTTTTTTTTTCAGTTTCTATTTCATTTATTTTCCCTCTTCCTCTACTTCGATTTCCTTTCTCCTGCTAACTTTGAACTTTGTTTTTTCTTTTTCTAATTCCTTTAGATATAAAGTTAGATTGTTTATTTGAGATTTTTCTTGTTCTTGAAGTAGGCCTGTATTGCTATAAACTTCCATCTTAGAACAGTTTTTGCTAAGTCCCAAAGATTTTGAACCAACAAAGATTTTGTGTTTCCAATTTCATTTGTCTCCAAGTACTCCTTGATTTCATCTTTGACTTCCTCATTGACCCTTAGGTTGTTTAGCCACTAAGTGTTTTGTGTTTTTTTGTGTGTTTTTTCCAGTTTTTTTCTTATAATTGATTTCTAGTTTAATAGTACTGTGGTTGAAAAAGATGTTTGATATGATATACAGTCTTCTTAAATTTACTTGTGCTCATTTTATGGCCTAATGAAATCTATTTTGGAAAATATTCCACGTGCACTTGAATGTGAATTTTGTTGTTTTTGAATGGAATATTCTGTATCTATCTCTTAAGTCCATCTGATATAATGTGTCATTTAAAGCCACTCTTTCCTTATTAATTTTCTGTCTGGATGATCTATCTGTTGATGTAAGTGAGGTGCTAAAGTCCCCTACTTTATTCTTCAATTTCTTTCTTTATATCTGTTAGTAGTTGCTTTTTGTATTTAGGTGCATAGGTTGGGTGCATAGGTATTTACAATTGTTATATCCTCTTATTGGATTCATCCCTTTATAATTATGTAAATGGCCTTCATTGTTTTTGTTTCAGCCTGTGTTTTAAAGTGTATTTTGTCTAAGTATTGCTACCCCAGCTTTTTTTTTCCATTTGCATGAAATATCTTTTTCCATTCTTTCATTTTCAGTCTTTATGATTTTAGTTTAGGGTCTTTTGTAGACAGCATATAGATGAGTCTTGTTTTTTTTATCTACTTAGTCACCCTATGTATTTTGATTGGTGCATTTAATCCATTTACATTTAAAGTAATTATTGATAGGCATGTACTTATTGCCATTGTGTTAATCATTTTCTGACTGTTTTTGTAGTTATTCTCTGTTCCTTTCTCCTTCTCTTAGTCATTTCTCACAGGGAAGAGAATTTCTTTAGTGTGCTTGGATTTCTTTCTCTTTACTTTTTATGTATTTATTACAGGTTTTTGGCTTGTGGTTATCATGGGGTTCATATATAACATCTATGTATATAGTAATCTGTTAAGTTGATGGTCACTGAAGTTCAAACACATTTTAAAAGAACCACAGTTTTACTCCCCCCCTCTATATTTTATGTATATGATGTCATATTTTACATCTCATTATATTGGGTATCCCTTCACTAATTTTTGGAGGTGTAATTGATTTTACCACTTTTGTCTTTTAACCTTTATACTAGCTTTATAAGTGACTGATCTGGTATCTTTACTCTGTTTGCTTTTACCAGTGAAATTTTTCCTTTTATAATTTTCTTATATCTTGTTATGACTTTTCTTTTTTCACTTAAAGAAGTCCCTTTAACATTTCTTGTAAGGCTGACTTAGTAGTGAGGAACTCCTTTAACTTTTGTTTGTCTGGAAACTGTCTTTCAATTCTGAATGATAACCTTGCCATGTAGAGTATTCTTGGTTGTATTTTTTCCCCCCTTTCAGCATTTTGATTATATTGTGCCACTCCCTTTTGGCCTGCAATGTTTCTGCTGAAAAATCAGCTGATAGTCCTATGGGGTTTCCCTTGTACCTGTTAACTCTTCTCTTGCAGCTTTTAAGATTTTCTCTTTATCTTTAATTTTTGCTATTTTAATTATTATGTGTCTTGTCAGTCTTCTTGGGTTCATCTTGTTTGGGGCTCTCTGTGATTTCTGAACCTGGATGTCTGTGTCCTTCCTTAGGATAGGGAAGTGTTCAGCTATTATTTCCTCTAATATGTTTTCTGCCCCCTTCTCTCTCCTCCTTCTGGGATCCCTATAATGTGAAAGTTATGCTTGATGTTTTCCAAGAACTACCTTAACCTGTCTTCATTTTTTGAAGTTCTTTTTTCTGTTCAGCTTAGTTGCTTTTCACTACTTTGTCTTCCAGATCACTGATCTATTCTCCTGCATCATCAAATCTGCTATTGATTCCCTCTAGGGTATTTTTCACATCAGTTATTATATTCTTCAGCTCTGGCTGATTCTTTTTTATATTTTCTATCTCTTTGTTGAGGTTCTCACTGAATTTATCAAGTCTGGTGAGCATCTAATGACTGTTACTTTGAACTCTTTATGAGGTAGATTGCTTATTTCCATTTCATTTAGCTCTTTTCCTGGGGGTTTGTCTTATTCTTTCATGTGGTTCATAGTCCTCTGTCCCTTCATTTTGTCTGACTCTATTCATTACTATGTATTAGGTCAGCCTTCTAGTCTTGAAAGTAGTGGCCTTATGTAGAACATATCCTGTGAGGCCCAGTAGCAATCCCCCGCCTAGTCCACAAAACCAAGTGTTCCAGAGGTGTTCCTTGTGAGGCCTATGTGTGCATTCCTCCTGTGACTGGGTCATGACTGCTACTGGTCCTCTGGTGGGCAGGGCCAGCCCTTAGCCCAGCTGTCTGCAAGATGGGTGGCAGGGCTTGCTTCCAGCACAGCTGAATGAAAGCTGTGATGTGATGGATACAACCTGATTTGGGAGTAAGGACGGCTATTTAGGTGTTGGTTATTTCTTTATAATTTTTATACCTATTTTGCACATTTTACCAGTGTCTTGAATAATTTTTTTGAGCTCATCAGCTGATTTACCAGCTCCAATCATTGGAACTTCTTACATGTCATCAGTGATCCCTCACTGGAAATATATACCTCAAATTTATAAAATCAAGATACAAAATTTAGCTCAAAATTGTTAATTTTAGAGTATGTAAAAGTTACTATCCTTACAAGATTTAGAGTCACTCCCAAACGTAGCCAATGAAAGAACTGACAACCTGCATGTCCCAGGCAGAAAGGAAGCCAAGTCACATTCTTAGTGATGCAGGCCGGCTGAGTCCCAGAACCCAGGGGAGGGTCTCAATGGACCAGCCATGACCCTTCCTTGGCATCATGCAGAATGGAAATCAAATGTGAGCCAGAGAAAGTGGAAACAGAGTTTATTGAATAGTGTGACAGACATAATAGCAGACGGAGTATCTGGGAGACTCAGAAAGGAGAGAAGAATGAGTCTCATCATTGTTAGGGGTTTGTATTAGGAGAGTCTAGGGTACATGTTCCTCCAGGAATCCAGGGTAGGGTACAGTCAAAGGCAAGTGTCAGGTGAACAAGAGGGGTTACTCCATAAATTACCAAAGATAAGGGTATTGATGCCAGTATCAGTTGAGGTTTGTTTGAAGCTAATGTCCTGGGACATGTTTAGGATATGGCTCTTCTTATGTGTTATCAGGTGTTTGGGGCCTAGGACAAAACTTAACGATTAACTTTCTGGCCTCTGCCTGTTGCAGAATCATTGAGCCAACAATCAAGAAAGAGTTCTTGAGATGTTTTACGGTGCAACTTTTAGTAAGTTTATTTAAGTAGCACCGAGACAGGACCCGTGGTCAGAAAGAGCTGAACTTTTACTGTATGAAGCTGGTGGTTGGTTATATGCTTAGTGCTCAAAGGGGAGGGGACATACAGGGAGTATTAGATCATAAATGTTTTCTTTCAATTTCTACTCATAAAACTACTTTTGCAAGATGTCTCTGGTGCTTATCATTGAGCTTGATATTAACTATTAGTGAGAAGTACAGGCAGTCATGAGACCCTTTAAGAATGTAGCAACAAGCACGTATTTGATCCTTATCAGAACTATGCAGGCTATAGGCCAGCCTTCTGGGCTAAACACGAACATTTTTCTGCTTCTATCCCTCATCACCCCTTGAAGTGGGAAGATAGCTTCTTTGGCTTGTTCGGAGACAAAATATGGAACATGAGTGAATAGGGTCTAGCAGAAAAACAACAGAAATGGAGACTTTCTAAAATGGAATCCCTTCAGCTTTCCTACTTCAGTAAGACCTAAAACGATACAAGCAAGAAGGAAATAGTTATTTCTAGGAGATAAAGGATCAATAACCAATGAGTCTGGATTTGGGAAGGAAAGAACAATGTGAATTTATTTCCATCTTTGGGCTGAGGAACAAATCTATTTACAAAAACTCTTGAGGATCCTCTCTGGGTTTAGGAAATTCTTCAACTAAGACCCTTAGTTCAGACTTTGACCAAGGAGTAAAAGATGCCTGATGAGGACCTCTGGTAGTCCTGAATGGCCTTATTTTTAAAGATTTTATTTATTTATTTGACAGAGAGGGAGAGAGCACAAGCAGGAGGAGTGGCAGAGGGAGAAGCAGGCTCCCCCCTGAGCAGGGAGCCCAATGCGGGGCTCGATCCCAGGACCCTGGGATCATGACCTGGGCCAAAGGCAGATGCTTAACCAACTGAGCCACCCAGGTGCCCTTGGATGGTCTTATTTTTAAAAGTAACTGTTTAATAGTCTCTTTAGAGTGGAAAGACAATTCAGAAAGAGGATAACTAGGATGAATGCTCAAAGGATAGAGGGGAGCACTAGGAGTTACATCAGTCTTGTAGTCTTATTTTAGCTACATTGTCTCTTTTTCATTAGCTTTTTGTAATGAATCTTTCAGTGGAACTACTTTGGAATTTTGAAACTTTTTGGAGGCTCCTACATGCCAATTAAAACAGGTATCCCATTCTGTTTAATTTGGGAACCCTTGCTTTCAAGTGCACTTCTTAAATGATCTTACCTAATTAGAACAGTTCCCATACTGGTCACTGTATTTCTAGGTTGTAATACCCTTGAGGGCTGGGAGCAGTATTGATAGGACCCTATCTGCAAATGGAGTTAACACACATTTCTTCTATTCAGCCATATCTACCTGCAAAGGAAGTGAAACTCACATTTCTGTCTGGCCTTATTTTGAGGCCCCCAACCTGACAGTTACCAAGCCAAGTTCCACAGGACACAAAACAAGCTTAGTGAGATTTTGCTGTTTTTGCTAGATAACTGAGATTTCTGGAACTATAGCTCTTAGACACAAAATAAGCAGGTGTGCAAGAAGGTGGCATGCATGACTCTTTAGCATTTAAGAATCCCATTAGCTACCTGCAAGGATATTAAAAAAAAAAAAAGAATCCATTACCTAAAATTGTGGGTTTCTCAGAGCCATACTATACCTAAAAGAGATGTGCCACAAGGTTGGGGTTTGTGTATGTTTAATAGTGTACCTTGTTGCATGGAAATTTCCTTGCGGTTGGTGGGTGACCTAATGTCAATCTAACACATTCTGTGACCAACTTCTCTTGTCATGGGATTCTTCTTGAGGTGACTAGTGCTCTAACAGCCTTTAAATGCTCAACTTATGCCTACCAACTTTTGCAGATTTTTGGCCTCCAATATCCCTGCAAACAAACCTGTCCACCTTAATGTATCAGTAGTAACCTAGAGATGTTACTATATCCTGGCCACAAGAAGGCCCTGTATGCACCACCAATTCCTGTGGAAACTTAAAGTTTTCCACTATGGGAATTGTGGTCTGAAAGGCTAAGGGCTTGGTTCCAGGCAGACCCTTCTGCCAGCTCAGTTGGGCTCTGGGCAGAACCACCAGCTCCACTGGGCTCTGGGCAAATATGCCAGATCAACTGAACTTAGGACATCACCCGTCTGCCCCCACAAGCTGACCTGCCCTGTAAAGGAAAGTCAATTAGATTGAGAGCTCAAATACAACAGAGCAGAGCTCAGAACTGAGAGGAATTTACCCACAGCCCTTGGAAATGACAAGAAAAGCAGCAAACTCAAAGGGTTCACGGGCACCATGGCTGTGTGTCTCGTCATCCCCAAACGCTGCTGGAAGTTCACTTTGGATCCTTTTGCTGCCACCAAATCTGTTAAAAAACAAAATTCAACTGAGTAAATTTGAAGGTCTAATTGGCTTTATTAAATTATTTATGAATCAGGCAGCATCCCATCTAGCAAGTAGGAAGGAATTCAGAGATGTACAAAATAGAAGGTTTTTATTTTATTTATTTTATTTTTTTATTTTTTAAATATTTTATTTATTTATTTGAGAGAGAGAGAATGAGAGACAGAGAGCATGAGAGGGAGGAGGGTCAGAGGGAGAAGCAGACTCCCTGCCGAGCAGGGAGCCCGATGCGGAACTCGATCCCGGGACTCCAGGATCATGACCTGAGCTGAAGGCAGTCGCTTAACCAACTGAGCCACCCAGGCGCCCAAAATAGAAGGTTTTTATAAGGAAAATGGAGCAAGAACATTATTAGCAGAAGAAAAGGATTTTTCCAGGCAAGATGGCTTTCCCTTGGGAATAGTGGGGAGGATTTGGGAGGGATTGGGGTGGAGGATGGTGGTGTCTTACCATGTGGATTCTTCCTTTAGGAAGAATTTCAGATTTTCATTCACTAGTGTTAGCATCTATGCCATTGTGCTTTATAATAAGAAATACATATTTGATCTTTGTCCCGTTTTTGGCCCTGAGCTCCTAAAACATCAGGAATTTCCTAAATGATGAGAGCAATAACGGTGTCTTGTTATGTTAATGAGGTGACTTTTGGGCCTCACCTAAGGACAGGGGGCTGGTTGCTAGAGGAGACAATTGCAGGATTAGAAGGTTGGAACTTTAAACTATTCTTCCCTGACCTCAGGATGGGGGAGGGGCTGAATATTGAGTTCTATCATCAATGGCCAATGATTTAACCAATCTTGCCTATATAATAAAGCCTCCACAAAAACCCAAAAGGAGAGGGTTTGGAGAGCATCCAAGTTGTTGAACATGTGGAGATTTGGAGAGAGTGGTGTGCCAGGGAGACGGCATGGAAGCTCTGTGCCCCCTCCCCACACCTTGCCTTGTGCATCTCTTCCATTTGGGTGTTCCTGAGTTATATCCTTTTATAATTAACTGTGGATCTAGTGAGCACAATGTATCCCTGAGTTTTGTGAGCCACTCTAGCAAACCAAAGGAGGGGTTCATGGGAACATCCAATTTATAGCAGGTCAGTCAGAAACACAGGTGATGTCCTAGACTTGGGATTGGCATCTGAAGGTTGTAGGGGTGGGTCCTATGGGATCTGACGCCATCACCAGGCAGAGAGTGTCCAAATTGAACTGAATTGTAAGACACCCAGCTGGTATCCAAGAATTGCTTGGATGTGTGTGGGGGGAGAAAAAAATCTCCACATTGGAATTTGTGATTAGAAACATGGCATCCACTGATATTTCTTGCCTAAATCAATTACTACTATAATTGTTGCCAAATAGAAATATTTTTTATCTCCATCATTCTTTCTATATTTCTTACTTGTCAATCTACTGTAAGGGTTTTACCTTCTTCCTAACTAATTAATATCACAATGAATTCTGGATTCTTCTTATATCCAGTGGTTTATAATCTATTACTATCATTATTTATTTTGAAGCTCAAATTGTCCCAGAGTTGGCTAGCAGGATATTATTTAAGGTGGCTTCTATATCTGCTTGGTATGTTCCCATCTTTCTTTGAGCATTTAATTACTTCCTGGTAACAGCCAGATGTCCCAGGTACTAATACTTTCGACATGTCCTCATTGTTTTTAATAGCTTATTTTCCCTGGTACTATAAAACTCTCTAGGCTTGTCTTATACATTTCCTGCCCCAACCTTGGAATCATGTATTTCTTCAAGTATCCATGGCTCTTTTTCATGGGAAATAATAGAGATTACAATCTGGAGGCAAGGGGCTGTTGTCATTTATGGGTCTTTTCAGTAGTCAGATCTAGGGAGTACTTAAATTTTTTGAAGATAAAGTACATTATGAGTTCAGCAACTATCCAATGCAAATTTAGTATTATAGGGGTTTTACTTGTCTCTTCTGTATCTCTATTTCCTTTCTCACCCATAGAAAATCCTGGTCCTCAATGACACCAATATAAATGCTCATTTGTTTTATTCTTCAATATATACACGACACTTTTAGAATAATAATACCCAAACTACCTGTATTATTTTTCTGTTGCTGAATTTACACAAACTTGGTGGCCTAGAACAATACACATTTATTACCCCATACCTTCTGTGGACCAGGAGTCCATGCACAGCTTAGCGGGGTCCTCGGCTAAGGAACTCACAAAGTTGTAGTCAAGGTGTTGTCCAGGGCAGCTGTGTTATCTGTGGCTCAACAGGGGACTGACCTGCTTTGGGCAGCAGAATTTAGTTGTTTGTGGTTATAGGACTGAGGGTTGTTGTCAGCTAGAGGTGTCCCTCAGTTTCTTGCCAGTTGGGCCTCTCAGCATAAGAAGCCCATAACATGGCATCTTGCTTCTTCAAAGCCAGCAGGAGAATTAGTGACTCCAGCCAAGTCAAGAGCTGTGATCTTAGGTACCTTAATCATATAATCACACACAGGTATATACCATCACCTTTGCAATGTTCTATTGGTTAGACGCAAGACATAGGTCCTGCCCATACTCAAGGGGAGGGAGCTACACAAGGGTGTAAACATTAGGAGGCAGGGATCAAAAAGGACACCCTGGATTCTGTGTACCTCACTACCACAGTAGATTGCTGAAAATGGTTTAAGATTTTTGGGGTCATTCTTTTTTTCTTAAGATACATGCAGTATGTTCCCCAAGTGTGTATGGGAATGTTTCCAGACTTGTTTTTATAATCTGTTTTTTCTCACTTAGTAATTTTGAGTGGTCATCTGTGTCCACAAATTTTCTTGATATACTATACCTTTTTGGGAATATATCATATTTTACTTACCCAATCTGTCTCAATTGGATATTATTTTTTCTCTATTATAAACAGCATCATAATGAATATTCTTGCAGCAAAACATTTCCATGCACCCTTAATTATAGTGTAGGATGAATGGTGTTTATTTATTTCCAGAAAGCTGTTCTGCTTGGGCAGGATTTAAGGAACTATTTCCCTGAAGAAAATAAGGAAGCTCCACTGAAGGGAGATATTGATCAGAGTTCTTCAGAGAAACAGAACCAATTGTGTGTGTGTGTGTGTGTGTGTGTGTGTATGGGTGGATGGATGAATGGATGGATGGATAGATGGATGGATAGATGGATGGATAGATGGATGGATAGATGGATGGATAGATGATAGATAGATGATAGATAGATGATAGATAGATGATAGATAGATGATAGATGATAGATAGATAATAGAAAGATAATAGAAAGATAATAAATAGATAGATTTATTATAAGGAATTGGCTGACATGATTATGGAGGCAGGCAAGTCCCAAGATCTGTCTGTAAGTCAGGAAGCTAGAGACCTAAGGAGCTAATAGTTTAGTTCCAGTCTGAATCCAAAGCTTCCCCAATGAGAACCAGGAAAGCATATGGCATAGTTCCTGTCTAGAGGCAGCCTCAAGACCAAAGAAGAGCTGATGGTTCCATTTGAGTCCAAAAGCAGGAAGAAAGCTGAAGTCCCAGTTCAAACAAAGGCAGCCAGGCAGAAAAAATTCTCTTTTACTTAGAGGAGGGCCCATGTTTTTGTTCTACTCAGGCTCACACTCATTAGGAAGGACAATCTGCATTAGTTAGTCTACCAATTTAAATGTTCATTTCATCTAAAAATACCTTCACAGAAATATCCAGAATAATGCTTGACCAAATATTTGGACATCCCATGGCCCAGTTAAGTTGACACATAAAAATCCATGACAGGAGGTATTTT